AGAAATTTAATTTACTATATCTCCTAAATCAATGCTGTCCCCCACTTAATTCCTGTAGAGTATCACTCAGGACATTCTCCCCTACAACATAGATATCTAAAGGACATCGAAATTGGTAAGGTGTCACCTAAAATAAATATTTACCAAAGAAATAATTGAATCTACTAAATGTATTATTTATATACGGAAATTGCAACAGCAAATCTTTTGTTATTAATTAGATAAGCGGTCAAGACGTTTTTGGATACCACAAATCTGCAACGGCAAATATGATTTCATATTGCTTCGATCTGAAAGGACCATCTTATACTATTGATACAGCATGCAATTCTAGTCTTCATGCTCTAGCCGTTGGTTATGAATGTATCATGTCAGGCAAATGCGAAGACGCAATAATTGGAACAGCACAATTATGTCTTTATTCCATAATGAACCTGCACTTCGCTCGACTTGGTATTATCTAAATATTTATACATAGTATTTTCATTAAAATTTGGTAGCCTTGTAATACAATAGGCATGACATTTAGAGAATCACACAAACCATTTCTCATTTACAAATAATAAATTCAAAAAAATCATTTACAAAAATTACAATATATAATTTCGTTTCTAATAAAAACGGTTCTTTATATATATAACAATATATTTAAAAACTGAACAATACCATATTAGGAGATATCATGAAAATGATCATTTTGATTTAAACATAATCCATTATACGCACGTTCAAATATGCTTACTATACTTCTTAAGTATTTTATCACCCAACGGTTATTGCAGACCATTTGATACCGCTGCTAACGGTTATTCGCGTAGCGAAACAATTGCAGTAGTATACCTTCAAAAAGCGAAAAATGCTAAGAGGATTTATGCTATATGTCCCCATGCAAAATTAAACAATGATGGTTACAAAGAAGAAGGAATAACATATCCTTCATCTCGAATGCAACATACCTTACTAAAAGAATTTTATAAGGAGTGCAAAATACCAACATCTTGTTTGGATTATGTCGAAGCACATGGTACCGCTACCGTAGCTGGCGATCCTCCAGAAATTAATGCTATCTATAATGTTTTTTGTAAAAATAGAGAAACTCCATTAATGATCGGCTCCGTGAAATCTAATCTCGGGCATTCTGAACCTGTGAGTGGTTTTAATCAGATTGCTAAGGTAAAATAAATGTTGTTTTCGGTTTTGTCTATTATTATAAAATTTATTTTTGTTTGATATAGTTTGATAAATTAGTAGTTCTCATATATTACTGCTTTTTTATCAAAATTTGATTTATTTTTTAACATAGTCTTCTTTCAAAAAGTTACTAACTTATCAAACTGTTCATGTACATAATGTACAATTAATCGACATTTTACAAGTTCATTCAAATTTATACTTCAGAACTGTTATTATAACTGTTATTATAACTATTAGGTAATAATAGCATTCGAAACTGATTCTGTTCCACCAAATATCAATTATACAACGCCAAGGAAAGATATACATGCTTTGATAAATAACAGTATTTGTTTAGTACAAAAACCATTGCCACTTAAAAACGGTTATATATGTATTAATTCTTTCGGTTTTGGAGGATCTAACGCTCACACGTTATTAAAGTGGAATAATAAACTAAAAATAAATAATGGAACACCAAACGATGACTTACCCAGGCTTGTCATATTATCTGGACGCACTGAAGAATCAGTGAAATTGTTTTTAAACGACGTTAGTGTAGATTTTTCAAAAATATTTCGATACTACTTTGAACAATTACAGATACTGTGTTCCAATTAAAAAAAAAATTATTATTACAGATTGCTAATCATCCAATAGATGCAGAATATGTTCGCTTATTACACGATATCCATGCAGACAATATAAATGGTCATCCATGGAGAGGGTACACTATATTGCAGAATACATTACAACAATATCCCATAAAGGAATTTCGAAATTGTAAGGGCGTGAAAAGACCTGTGTGGTTTATATTTTCAGCTTTAGGTTCGCAATGGCCAGGAATGGGTACATACTCAATATATATATTTCATAATATTCTTGAGGCTTTCACGGGTGTTTCCTATATGACAATCTTGTGTTTCGCGGGTTTTCTCCGTGTTCAAATCCATTCTTGGAATGCCAACGT